GTTTAAACTAGAAAAGCTCTTTAATAAAGAAGTATAGAATAATTAAATATATTATCTAGTAAAATAGAAAAACTATCCTAAAGAAGATAATATATAGAAACTAGTTAAATACCTAATAAACTATTAATATTTAATTTAATAGTTCTACTAGAAGGTAAGATAGAAAAAAGATCTTAGGATAAAGTTAAGTTAGTTTATATAGTATTCTAGTTAATAACCCCTATAGTACCCTATAACTAAGCTTTAGCTATAGCCTTAGACTCTAAGTACTCTAACTCTTCTAGTTTATTTATTAACCCCTTACTTTTATATAATATTTCTAAACCTTACTTATAAATTTACTATTTCTACTAATAAAGATATATTAGTTTATTAAGAGCCTTTATTATTTTAGCTTAGGCTTTTAAAAGATACTCTTTAGTAATACCCTCCTTATACTTAAAGCAGTAGTATTTATTTATAATATAGTAAGCTTAAAAATAGGTTAGTATAGTATAATCTAAATAAAAATATATAATTTTCTTACTAAATAATATTATAATATCGGAATAGTTATATAAGTAACTATAATAAATATACTTTAGATAGTACTTATTATTATTAGGTATTATATAATACTAATATTTATTCTTTAAATAATAAGAATAAGGTATAATATCTATACTAAATTCTTCTATTAGTAAAGCTTTTACTTTATAATAATTAGAAGATTTTCTCTTAGCTATAATAGTTAATAGATAGGGTCTATATAGAAGGGAAGAAAAGGAACTTATCTGGGCTATAGAATATAGTCTTAAGGATAAAACTAATAAAGAGGGAGTATTATATTATACTCTGGTTATAAGCTAGCCTTAGACTAAGTTAGGTATAGGTTATATAATATACTCAGATACTAAGATAAGATAATTAGTACTAAGTAGGAGATATTTAGCTCTAAGTACTTAAAGAAAATTACTAAGTACTCTATTATATATATATAATTATTTCTAGATAGAATACTAGCTTAATAGCTATTAATAAATAAATATTAGTTTATATATACTACTATAAGTTAACTTATTATTTAATTTATTAACTAACTTCTAAGTAATAAAACTATTATCCCTCTCTCCCTAGAATAACTATTACTAAATAAAAGATATTTAATTACTCTTAAGCTACCCTATAGCCCTTGAGTATACTGTTTGTCATAATCCTATAAATATTAAATAGCCTTTTAAGATCTAAATTAAATACCTAGCTAAGAAGGAGTTATTATAGCTCTTAATACTACTAGAAACTATAATAACTTAAGCTAATAGCTATTTCTATATACTTAAGACTAATAAGGAAGCCTAGGCTTAGTTAAAACTGCTTATTAATAACCTTAAGAGCTTATTATAAGTAATCTGGATTTTAATCTCTAAGGCTACTAAGGAGCTAGATTATAAAAATACTATTATAACCTTATTAGAGGTAAATAATACTAAATTAAAAGAAGAACTAGATTTATAATACTCTTTTAAATATTATAAGGTTTAAAATAACTCTAACTAGTATTATATAATAATATTAATAATTACTAAAGTATAGTAAGAGATATAGATAGCTTCTATATAGCTAGAGGAGGAATATAGGCTATATATATAAGAGGAAGCTATAGAAATTACTATATTAAATAAGGAAGAGCTTAATAAAACTCTAGTATAAATTTTATATTAATTAGATTTAAATTAGCTATATAATTAATTAATTTATATATAATATTAATTATATAAAATTATATAAGAGTAGGGTATATATAAAGTTTAAGTAAATTATAATAGTAGTTCTAATTAAGCTATTCTTTTATAGTAATTACTATATATAAGAGGGATATTCTAAGATCAGGCTATATATAACTAGATCTATATAACTTAGTTTTACTTATTTTCAGTCTATATCTAATCTTTAACTCTATTTTTTTTAATTTTCTATCTATATAAGCTATAGTAAGATAATAGCTTTATTAAAAACTTAAAAAAGCTCTTATTAAATATATAACTTAGCTATAGATCCTAAGGGGGGATATTTATTATCTATAATTAATTATAAAACCTTTTAAAGTAAGTTTATTATTATAAATTATAAATTACTAAATACTAACTATCTCTTCTTATAACTAATTATTACTAACTATCTCCTTATAACTAATTATTATAATAATAGCCTTTATAAATATCTTTATCCCTAGTAGCTAGGGGCTTATACTAGTATTTAACCTAGCCCTTATATATATAAAAAAGATAATTAGTAAGAACCCCTAGGGCCTTATATATAATATATAATATTCTAGCTTATACTTTATAACTAGCTTTCTTATTACTATAAGACTAATTATACTAATATAAGTCTAGGAGCTATAGATACTTAGATATAAGCTATACTATATAGTTTATAAGGATTTAGAAATTAATCTAGTCTTTTAGAAGGTATTTAAAGTAGAGCTAGATAACTTTCCTTAAGTACTAGAGATATATAATAACTAGAGTTACTTCCTCTAGTTCTAATATATTATATATTATATTAAGATTATTTAGAGAGAGATAGCTCTTAAAGAATAAATTAGTCTATTTATTATTTTATTAGAATTATAAACTATTAAATAGATTTTAATAAAATTATATTAAATTATTAAAAAGTATATTTATTTAAAGAAAAAGTTTAATTAATTAAAATTAATTTAATAGTATTAGAGTTATAATATATTAATTAATTATTATAATAGAATTTTTAAATAAAAGTTTAATAGTTAATCTTATTACTATATACTAATTAAATAATATAATATTTTTCTATATTATACTAATTAAGCTATATAGTATATAGAAGAATATAAATAATAAACTTTAATAATAATAAAGCTATTAGAATCTAAATAACTTAATATAGTAAATATAAAAAGCTTAAAAATATAGTCTTTTCTTATATATCTAAGAAGTTATATAGCTAGAAAACTCTAACTATTATATAAATAACTTACTTACTATTAGGATAATAGCTTATTAAATAACTATTAATACTATCTCTTTTACCTAGCTTTTTTTATTTATCTTATATTAATCTAACTATATTAATTAATCTAAGTATAAGCTTAAAGCTTTTTAAATACTAATTAACCTAGTAGGTATTATAAACCTATTAGTTAGAGTATCTATACTAATATATTTATAGCTTTTATTATTTATCCTAGTAATTAGAATATATAAATTATATTAAAAAAAGATATTTTAATTTCTTCTTTTAAAAAGAGTAAGATTATTTAATTAGATATTAAAATACTAAGAATTAATACTAATAGCTTTAAGTATACTAATTAAACTTAAGTAATTCTAATTATTCTATTTAATTAATTATAAAAAAAAAAGCCTAAAGAAATTAAATTCTTTAAAGATTTTAATCTATTCTAATAAATTAAAAACTTTAGAATCTCTTAATAGAATATCTTCTAAGAGCTCTGAATTTTAATTAGAATATTCTTAGTTATATATCTATAGAGGATATTAATATAAAGACTATTTTAAAGTTAAAGAGAGATAATAAGTTAAATTAGTAGAAGTTTTTAGTATCTAAAGTTAGATTATTATAATTAGCTATAGCTACTAATAAGAATAAGTAATCTAGTATAATATAAAGAAAGAGTTCTTAGAGATAGTATTAATAGAAATACTTTAAAGCTTTTAAAATATAGTAGAAGTAAGCTATATAGTATTTTCTATAATTACTATTTAGTATTATCTTTTTTATCTTAATAATAAAAAATAAAGAGATAAATAGTTTTATTATTTTTTTCTTATTAATTAAAATCCCTTTTTCTCTATATTATTTTAATTTTAAATTAGTATTAATTAACTCTAAGTATAGAGTTTAGATTATTTTATACTAATTAGTTATTTAGCTTTAATTAAAATAATTTAAATTAAATTTCTATACTCTATAATCTTAATTTAGTAGGTAATTTAACTTAAATTATCTATAAATAATTCTTAGGGAATATTAATTAGATAAATAAATCAGCTCGTAGTAAAAGAGGGAGAGCACATGGTCCGCGCAAGCATCTCAGCCGGATCATTTTGCTTAACACTCCGTATAACCTCTATTAAAGCCCTTGTTAGGTTATATAGATCCAAAGGATCAATAGCTGAAGATGCGACCAGCATGCCTACCTAAGCATCCTTCTTTCGCCTCACTCATCGTCTTCAAATACACTATCTTTCAGTCCTCGAATGCGTTTGAATACATCATTAGGTGGTCTGGTTGCAGTTTAACAAGGGCCAGATTATTTCCTACAGTAATATCAATCACGCAGTCGGACAACAAGTCCAGGCGATACTCACAGCGATCCATTATATCTGGATGAGGTAGTAGATTGATCTCCGAGTGCTTCGTAGAGTTGGCGGCTATGCTGAATATAACAGCCCGGATTGCGAATCGCTAGTCCGATTATATTCCTTGAGGACGCGGGTGGGACATCGCTGGTATGGCGTCTGCAATCCACATTCTCAGCACTTGTTTCACATGCAGCGCGTTAAAGAGCTTGACTGGAATTCAAATCATAGATCTATTGGTCGATCTTATTAAACCCGGCACTTGGGCGAAGTTGGGGCAGGCACTGCGAGAATTCACATAATGAAAAGATGGTAATAAAGGAGAACCCGGAGAAAAATTGTTTTTCTGCCAGCTCCACGCTTGTGGAATGCTAAGGAAAGAATGACCATGAATAATAGTATTCGGCAGGCAATTGACAAAGATTATAATTAGCCTTATATAGCACTCCGATGCGTTTTACCAAATACGCGAGCTACCGAGTAAAATCAAGGATTAGGTTACCTGTCTTAGGCCTAAGGCTAGTAGAAAGGCCTACTTGAATTACCTCGAAGCGTTGCGTCTTCGCAGCGGCGCCAGATTCACAGAATCGGTTGATATATATATATCTTCACTCTATCGCCTCTCTACTTCTACCAACCATGAAAATTTCAAAGATGTTCTGCTCTATCAGCATTATTTGGGCCGCTGAATCTTTGATTCCATATCCATCAGATGACGGTACTCGCGATAATGGGTATTATAGTATACCTGTGCCAGAGACCTTCAAGCTAGTTCGCCGCCAGCTATTTCCAAATCATTACATTTCAATGGTATCCGGTCGTTACAATAGCACTACCAAGTATGTTCGGATTTGACTAATCTTTCTCCAGCCACTTCTTGAAAGCTATCCCAACGGGAACTCAAGCTCCATCGAACGTGTAATTATCGTGATACCCGGAAAGGTAAGTTGCTAATCCTATGGTCTATATCTTTCATGCTGGAAGATTATATAAAGCCCAGCAGTGCTTATCTGAAGTCGTCTTTGTAGCGTCGCGATTGCTGGAGAAGTATGCCTGTATTAACAAACGGTCTATCGACTGACTAATACTCTAACACTATGCTTCCTCTAGGTGCTACCCAGATAAGAAACGCTCATTCGACCGCAGTGGAGAGAAATCTTATTTCTGAAGGAGTAGCTATAGTTTCACCATGCTTCCTAGCAGAAGTGGATAAATCAACCGGAGCTGGACAGCTAGATGATTTTTCTTTTAGTCTTACAACATGGGCGAGTGGGCAAAAAGCCACAAATCCCGTATCAGCAACCACAATCAGTTCCTATGACATTATCGATGCTCTTGTCGAGACGTACTTGAACTTGAGCAAGTATCCCAAAGTCCAGGTAGGACTACCTGCCCAGGTATAAAAATCGGGCTTTTTCCTAACAAAATCTGGGCAGGCTGTCGTGGTTGCTGGTCATTCTCTTGGCGGCCAAGCCGTACAAAGGTACGCAGCAATTGCTAAGGGTAAACCGCAAGAGAGTAGGATACACTATTGGGTCGGTGAGTCTGATCTATTCGACTAGTCTTCCAGATTTACGAAATGCATGCTAACTGAAGAACCCGTGCAGGTAATCCAGGTTCCATACTTTGGCTTGTTGAAGATCGACCTTATCCAGAGATTGCAGCGAGGTGTTATGGATTTGATAGGTTCAAGTTTGGCCTCAGCGGTGGCTTCCCCGCCTACAATCTCCAAAGTATGGCTGCAATGAGCCGCAACGACATAGTCGATCGATATAGGGCTCGACATATCCATCACCTATGGGGCCTGGTATATATTGCCTTAAATCAATGGAACACCAGTCCCCGCATCAGGGTTGGGACTGCGGACATTAATAGAAAGCTGACGAGAAAGCTAGGAGGACTTTGGACTTGGCGATATCCGCTGCCAGGCCAAAGTAAGTGTCTAGTATATACTTCGATTTCCTTCACTAATTTGTACATAGGCACAAGGGAATACACACCTGGAGCGAGGTCAAAATTTCCACAATTCACTAAGTCACCTAAATAGCCTAACAAATAACACTGTTAGCTATATACCAGACGTGGCCCATGATGCAGCACAAATGTTCAGTAGTACTGAAGGTCTGAAAAGGGTAAGGTTATAGTCTTTTAAGTTAAGTTATCTAATAAAACTAATATATATATAGCTGTTTTTATAAAACTTAAAGTAACTAACTATACTATATATTTTAATAGAATTATAATAATAATTCTCTAGTACTTTATAATAAGTTAAGATACTATATATAGAATTAGTAGATTATATACTAAATTAAAATATATCTAGATTAAAATAGTTTTTTAAAATTAAGAAAAATCTATTTA